CTCCTCAAATTTCCGTTGGTTAAATCTGAGGAATTTGTTCAGGTTACTCCTGCTGGCTATGCACAAATGACAGAAATGTGCAGTGCTCTTTCAGGCGGGAAGTTATTGGTCATCCTTGAGGGCGGGTTTGCTACTAATTTCTTCTCATCTACCTTGGATCCCTTAAAATTCTTTTGTCTTCCACTAAAATTCCTGTCTGGTGTTTGTTTATAAAATTCCTGACTTCTGCAGATATAATCTTCGTTCAATATCATCCTCAGCCACTGCAGTAATTAAGGTAAGTATTATCTGTTAATAACCTCTTCTATGAATTGATGGCTATTAACTCTCTGGAGATCAATAAGCAACTTCGGTGCCATTTATATGATTAGTATCAGCTTCTTTGTCAAGTGGTTGCAAACCTAGTTTCGCAAGTCTTCACCCTGTCCTGTTTCCCCACAAAACATAAAAAGGCCACTCTCCCTTTCCTTTTAACTCATCTTCACCATCACAATTTCGGAATTTTGTCAGCCTGAATATTGAATGACAGTCAATGACAGTCTTATGATCCTATCAAACGTCTAGATCAGTTACTCCTTCCCAAGCCGTTGATATTGTGTATTTGGTGTGGGGCCTTTTATTGATATATACTTAATGCAAGCGTTCAAGAGATGGTGGAGCTTGGGGGCAGTGGAAGAGACTATGTTTTTGCTGCGACTTATCTAGATATTTACTTTTGTTGGTATTTCAAAGTCACTTGGGCCCAACATGTGTCTGGTACCCTATTTGACTGGTCATAGCTGCTTGTTTGGTCTGCATTTAAAACTCTTCTAAAATTAGATTGCAGATCCCAACTAGCTATGATAATTGGTGTCGTGGATTTCTGTTCATGCATTAAAAACACTTCTTGCATTCTCGCAGATCAGAACTAGTAAGACATGAATACAATATGTTTCCAATTAATATCAAGTCAACTAATTTTGTGTTTGGTTTTGAGGATATAATGTTGTCCGCTTCTATTCCAAAACAAGAGTCCCAATTTATTTGAAATAACTGAATCTTGGACCTTTAGATCTTGAACTGGATTTGTCAATCAAATGATACCAACCTGAATCTGATCCACATATAGTAACTTATTTTATTTGGTTTGGGGATGGGGGCCGATCTTTGTTCTATTATTGTATGCAATATATTTTTACTGCTGATGCATTCTTCTGTTCTCTTAGTTAGTCCTAATTCAATTCTCTGTTCATTAAGGTTTTACTTGGTGAATCTCCTGAATGTAATTTGGACTGCGTAGTACCTACCAAGGCTGGATTACGAACTGTTTTAGAGGTCCTAAAAGTTCAGACAAAATATTGGCCTGCACTGGAACCTAACTTTTCTAGGTTACAATCAGAATGGGGATCATATGCCTTCCATCATGCAAGTAAGTATAATCTCTTCAAAGCTCTTTCATCTGCCTCTCATATCTCTGATTTTTTTTTTCCTCTTATAGTTTGTGGTCTAGCTCTATGCCTCCAACCCCCCTTTTCCCTCCCTCACTTGTTCCTATTGGCATTAACAATTAACACTTAGAAAAACTATCCAGCACAAGTTCTTTGCTATGTTTATGGCTGAGGATGAATTTTTTGCTGCTCTGTTTTATCTTTGCCTCACTTAAGGTGGTGATATTTTCTTCCACATCTAAACCATATGTTTATTATTTTCTCAACTGAGTGGCAATGCAATCATTCCTGAGGTTTTGGCTATTTCCTTTCTTTTTTCTTCTGAGAATGGCCTACAGAAAAACAGAAAAGAAAGAGAAGACAAGCAGTGCCAACGTGGTGGAAACTGGGACGAAAGAGGTTATTGTACTGGGTCTTGTGCAAGCAGCATCGCTTACAATTGAAATGGTGCTAACTATTTTTCGCTGATATTAGTACATCATTTTCTATCCTGTAACTCTCAACATGTGCCCCTAGCAGAGCTTTTAGGGAACTTTTTCTGTATCAAGAGAGACTTTGTAATATTAGTGAAGTTGCTACAAACAGATACACCCTTCCGAAGAAAAGGGAGAGAGAACATTATATTTTTTCAATCCAAAATTGGTTTATCTCAGTGGTTGGCTTGAATTTCTGATCCAATGCTTATTTTGAAATTACTGGCTTACTGTTTTATGGCAACTGAATTGTACTAAAGAGTTGGATTGGTAGCAGACACTTGATGCATATTTTGATATATAAATGAGACAATGTCTAATGCATAACAATCAAATATTGAAACTCCAAAGTAAAAGTGGTTTATATAGTACTTATCCTCATACATTTCATTCTGCTCCACCGGAGCTCCGACAAAGAGAAGGCAGGAAAGACAAAAGAAGCAAGCAGGGAATAAATACAAAACAAAGCATTTAGCAACAAATTACTCTCAATCAAGAGAGAGGAAATCTAGTATCCTGGAGGCTTGTGGGCAATGAAACTAATGCATTGCACTTGGCGAACGTTATCGAATCCAATGATCCTAACGAAGGCAGTAGGGTATTCCTTGACACAATTGTCCACCTCGTTCAACACCTGCACTGCGTCCGTGCACCCATACATAGGCAGCTTCCACATAACCCAGTAACGTCCGTCATAGTATCCAGGTGACCTGTGGTTCTCACGGTACACAAATCCATGCTACAATTCATTGTAAAATTAAATTATTATAGTACTTACTGAAATATTTATTGAATTAATGGACGAATTACTATTGTTACCTCCAACTCGAATTCGAGGCAGGGAATCCATTTCGACCGGATAAGGTAATCTATTTCCTTGAGCAATTGTTCTCTGGTGAGATCAGGAAGGTATGAGAGAGTCTCATACTTCTTCTTTCCAGTTGGTGGCCATACCTGTGGTTAACTCAAGTTCACACCACGTTTGGTTAGAATAAAAAAGTTAATTAAAATTAAAATTAAAATCAACAATTAATTTTAATTCCACGTTTCATTAATTCCATAATTTTTCAACTACACATTCTATCAACTTTCATCAGAATTCACCTGCATGCAGGAAACTCTGCCACCATTGGTGGCGAGTGAGGTGATGTCAATTTTCTTGCGGCTGACAGGGAAAGCAGAGGTCGACTTGAGGCCGACGAAAGGAGCCACCATGCTAGCTTGAATCGGGGCAGCGGTAGCAACGGCAGCGGTTGAGAGCATTGCAGAAGCCATTTTCTTTTCTTCGACGTGGAACAGGCACCCAATGAGCCTATCGTGAAGAAAATTTGTGCTGCTACATCGTCCTATTTATAAGCCATGACACTTAAATTAATATCAGATATTGAAAGGTCGAAATTGAAATGGTGCCTTATCATTTGGCACTCCTATCGGTGTGCCACGCGGCATAATCTTATCTCGTGTTTTGGACATGTTTGATTGTATAAGGCTAACAAATGAGGACCTCAGTTCTGAAGATATTTGCTAGAGTGAATTTCCAAACATAATCCCCCAAAAAAGTGTCTTTAGGCTATTTTTAAAATCATAATATAATTAAAATAACTACTATAATGTACCATTAATGCTAAAGGGTTTCTATGATATATTACTACGTCAAATGAACCGAGGTTGAATAATATCATTTTTAATTACACATTCACACAATAAATTATTCTGCATGTGAATTCTGAATTTTTCTTACTTTTTAACCACATATTCTTCTAAAATATACTATTCAAAACTCTTTACAATGGAAATAATTGCCATCAAACAGACACTAAATATTAAAAAAAAATTTGTACGGAATTAATAGAAATTCATAGTGATGAGCATGTTGCACTTTTTATAATTTATAATTATTGGTTTTTTTTTTTTTTTGGTTTAAATAAATCAGTGGTCCAAATTTCTCACATTATTTTATTTTGGCCCACAAAGTCACTCGATGTGGCCACAAATAACTGTCTAATCATAACCACAAGTCGTTTTGAAATGATAGTAACTGTCTTACCCGAACTTTTCAATAACCTTTTCTTGTTTCTTTATATATTCTTCTTCACTCTTCTTTGGGCTTTGGGGATGAATCCAATCAAAGAAACCCCACCCTTCTTTATTTAATGCCGGCAACTATGTACACTCCTCATTCTATTGTTACCATCCTTATTATCTCCATCCCCAACCTCGATCGAGA